CGCGGTGCTGTGCAGCCTGCTCTGGGTGACCCTGCTTGGGCAGGGGGTTTGGCTGGGTGACCCACAGAGGTCCCTGCCAACCCCTAATATTCTGTGATTCTGTGTGATTCTGTGATGCTTCATATGTGCATGCTCTGCTCCCCTCCAGCTTTACCTCCCCAGTACAGTACTGGGAGAGGGCGTGGGGGCACAGTCAGGCCTGCCGTCCAAGCGGTTTCCCTGTAGGCATCACTGGGATGCAGAAATCGGGGAGCAGCGTGGGGCGATGCCGGTGCCTGCGGTGGGTATTCCACGCTGCGCCGGAATCTGTCCCTGTTGCCTGAAACTGTTTTCTGCCTTGAAGTGAGAACTTGTTCATCTCTGAGATTTGTCAGAGCTCTGGTACCAGGCTGAAGACTCTCAGGTTCTTATGACATCTTCTGTAGCTGCGCTGCGAGAGGAGCTTTTTCTTTTTTCTCTTTTCTTTCCTCCTCTAACCGCTGCTGTAGTTAGGTACAAAATGGCAGGACTGTGCCCCCCAGCAAAGCAAGGGTCCATGCATCCTTTATCCCCTTATAGGGTTAAGAAAGACCCATCATAATGTTTGCACAGAAGAATCACAGAATCACAGAATAGTAGGGGTTGGAAGGGACCTCTGTGGGTCATCTAGTCCAACCCCCTGCCCAAGCAGGGTCACCTACAGCAGGCTGCACAGGACCTTGTCCAGGCGGGTCTTGAATATCTCCAGAGAAGGAGACTCCACAGCCTCCCTGGGCAGCCTGGGCCAGGGCTCCGTCACCCTCAGAGGGAAGAAGTTCTTCCTCATCTTCAGACGGAACTTCCTGTGCCTCAGTTTGTGCCCATTGCCCCTTGTCCTGTCACTGGCACCACTGAAAAGAGCTTGGCCCCATCCTCCTGACACCCACCCTTCAGATATTTGTAGGCATTTATAAGGTCCCCTCTCAGCCTTCTCTTCTTCAGGCTGAACAAGCCCAGTTCCCTCAACCTCTCCTCGTAGGGGAGATGCTCCAGTCCCCTCACCATAAAGAAGTTATAGGAATAATATAATAATTATAAGAATAATGTAAGAATTATAAGAAGCTATAATTCTATAACTTTAGTTCATTGCCCTCAATAAAATGATTCTGCGTTGCAGACCGTGCTACTGTTTTCTTTGCAGAGTCGCCTGAAGGAAGCCGTGCAGTTGTTGGAGGATTACAAGCACGGGACTCTGCCCCCGGGAGTCACCAACAAGGAGGTAAGAGGAAAAAGCCCTCTGGTGAAGTCCTACTTCTTCCCACAGTCACAAGGAGGGGGGGTGAGGTGGCGTTTGAAGCTGTGTCTGCAGCCAGATGCGCTACTGCGGGGCTTTTTTGGTGTTTCCGCTGGTCAAATCCCGAACCGGCGCTGTGCGGTTGGTTGCTGACTTCTGCAGCGTTGCTGCTGGTCCCTTGCACTGTAACTTGTGTGTTAAAGTGGAGCTGGGGTGTTCTGAGGTTCCCACGTCGTAAATGTTGCCGAGCAGAAGTGATAGCAACGGGATCGCAAGACAAGCGTACACGGTTTTTATTCAGAAGAAGTAGAAAGTTTGCAGTTTCTGACTTATGGAGTTATCAATTACCTTTGGCCAACGCTACTGCTTCCCTTCCCTTGCAAAGTGTGCTTGTACAATTAAAAGAGGAAAAAGTAATTTTCTTTTTTTAGCTGAAGGAAACCTTGCTGTCAGTCCTGTAGGTTCTTCTACCAGCAACTGTGATGCCTCAGCCTCATCTCCAACTGGGTTCCTCTTGGTTGGAATAATTGCCTTTTCTTCACGGAAATAAATGTTGTTTGGGCTGCGTGTAACCCTCTGGATGTCCTCGTGTTGTAGATTATGCCATCAGTAGTGGTACGTTTGGCTGGGGGATGTTCCTACTGTTGGGAGGGAAGCTGAAGGAGGATGTGGAAGCCCCACCGGTTTGATGGTCTTAGCAGGGTTTAGGCAGTTGCTGAGAAAAGGGTGATTTTCGGTAGAACTTGGTTCTGCTTTGGGATGGGCTGGGTGAGCTCTCCAAGACCCGGTCAGTCCTGGGTTCTGGACTTTTGTCTGACACTCTTCTATATGAACATGTGAAACTTGTAGAAGCAGAGGTGAGTCCTGCAGAGGTTCTAGACTGCTTTTTGAGCCTTTCATCTCCAAATCAGCAGCAGGAAACAAAAATCATCGATTTTCCTGTGGGTATTTCCTCAAACTGTCATCCTTATCTGTCCATGTGTAGACACCTGACCAGAACACTGACACAAGCGCTTTTTCAGAGCATGTATTTGTGCATCTAGCACAGGAGACTTCAGTCCCGTGTAATTTAATGTAATATAAAGACCAGCGTGCGCTGGCTGGCAGACCTCCTGCAGGAGCTGTGAGGAGCAGCCATGCTGAAGGACCAAGCAAACAGCGATGGAAATGGCAGTGCGCTCTGCTCCCATGCCCTGTAGATCAAATAACTCTTTTATTCCCCCCCTCCACTCGTCACCTGTGATAATTTTTTCTCAAGAAAAAGAAGTATAGCAGGTGAATGAAGAAAATTGCGATTTGCATTCACTTTCGGAAGTGGCTGCTTGGGTGGTAGGTGGTGTGTTGGGAAAGAGGCATGGCTTCGACAAAAAAGAAATGGGAAATATCCCCTCCCTGCGCAATGTGCGGCGCGAGGCATTGCTCTCCTTGTCTTTTGATGTCACTGCATTCTTCCAACCATAATCTGAGGGTAAGAAAAAAGAAACCGGGGCTGAGGGAAGGAGAAAAGCAGAAAGTGATGCAGCAGCAGATGACTCAGTTCCCATCTGTCTTCAGGCAGAAGAAACCCAAGTCATTCACTGTGTCAAAGCACTTTTGACCTACATTTTGGGTTTGCGTAGTGACAAACCCGGGATACACCCAGAGTTCATTCAGAATTGCGCTGAGAGAGAGCAAACAAAAGCATTGCGCTCCTGCTTGCCTTCGGTCGTGACAAGGCATGTGAGAGGTGAACCTGCTTATGCAAGTTGGAGGGGCTTAAGTGTGAAACGAAGGTATGGGGTGGAGGAGGAGAGAGAAAATGATGCCAGAAATGCCTTACCTAGGAAAATGATGGCACATCGGTGTGAAAAATAATATTTTATGTAGTAAGATCTCGACATGGTTTACTTTGATTGCAGTGTCAATTATGCTGGAGGGGTTTATGGAGTTTTGCTGACTGTAGGAGAAGGTAGCTCTCCCAGGAGGAGCCTGGGGTGGAACTGCAGCGAGTGCTCGTTACTCTGTTTAACTATGCTTTGCTGCGTTAATTAAACTGAACCACAGGGAGAGGTGAGTAAGCCCTGGGCAGATCCCGCCAAGGCTATGAAACATGACCCACCTGGAGTCCTGCATCCAGCTCTGGAGCCCCCAACATAGGAAGGACATGGATGGGTTGGAGCGGGTCCAGAGGAGGGCCACGAAGATGATCCAAGAGCTGGAGCACCTCTCCTCCGAGGACAGGCTGAGGGAGTTGGGGCTGTTCAGCCTGGAGAAGAGAAGGCTCCGGGGTGACCTTAGAGCAGCTGGCCGTGCCTGGAGGGGC